AGAATACCGACTTTGTGCTTCACACTGGTTCTCTCTTCTCCCCTCTTCTTACTGCTTGTGCCGGGGGTTCCGACATCAATCGGAATCACCAGCTTTGCTTGGATCATTTCCCACCAGTCCTTTGGATCGGCGGGTTTCGTCAAAATATCCCCGAGCTGAAGACCGCTCGGCACCCACCCGAGAGGTAGCTTACTACTCCACTGCTCTTCTCTCAGTCCTTGACGAAGGGCTGCTAAGTCGATTGCCAAGCGCCTGTCCGTTGACACCCGCGGGATGCCTTCTTTGTGGACGTGATCAAACAAAGAGCGACAGTCTGATAAGCACAGGAGGGGGCTCTCGGCTTTGTTGACCGGGATGAGCTCTCCGGCCAGCAGCGTCTCCATGAATGATCGTAGGTATTGTCCGCTCTCGAGGCCCTCTACGCTTGCCTGAGTCTCCGCCCCAAAAGTGCTGCGGCAGACACGTTGTCCTGCTCTGGATTTCCAGTCTCCGATGGAGGCGTTGCCGGGGGTGCCACGGACACATCTAATGTCCGCAAACATGGCCAGGCAGCCGATCTGCGAGGCCACCTTAGAGTTGATCCTCTTGGCCTTGCGTTGTTGCCTTCCAACGTGTGGTCCTTCGCGTTGTAGTCCGGCTTCTCGGTCTTCCAAGGTGAGGGCGAAGTGTTCTTCGTCGTAGTCGGCCTCCAATGCATTCGCCCATGCAGCGTCGTGGTAGACGACGATGCCGAAGTGCTCTCGCGGGATGGGCTTAAAAGTGAGACCCATTTCTTTGTAGAGCCCGGCTCGGTAGGCGATCTGGTTGGTGAACCGAACGTCTGCAATACAGGGGGCCTTCTGCAACTGCTGAGCAAGACTGACACTACACGTCAAGTCTGGTCTCGTCTGGGCCGATAGCCAGGACAGAGCCCCTATCAAAGACTGGTTGTCGGCTCGCAACTCCGGACTGGCGGGATCTTCATCGTCAGCTCCGCGGGGAATTTCCAGGCTGAATAGCCTGGTCTCAGCGTACTTCTTCTGCTTGACGGTGACCTCCTCGCCACAGTAGATCTCGGAGCCGACGTAGTCGAGGTGGTTTAGCTCCCACTTGTCTATGGGGAACCTTGCTGAAAGGGCCTCTCTGATCATCACGTTCATCTTTTTGCCACCGATGACCAAGAGGTCGTCAACGTGACTTCCGACATAGCCGTGAGGCTCTCCTTCGTAGGCTCCGTCGACGATCTCCCTGAGCATGAAAATGCATGGGTCCAGTGGGCACTGGACGAATCCAAAGCGCTTTTCGTCGCATCGTACTTCGACTTGTAGTATTCCTCCTTGTAGGTCTTGCCACCACTCGTGTGGCGAGGTTGCTAGACCGAAGATGTTCTTCTTGATGCGCACCAGTTGCCGTGGTCGTAGTCCCGGGAAACCTGTAGCCGGCTGGTGGAGGTAGAGGGGCTCGTCTCTGCTCAAGTAGCCACCCGTCAAGAAGGCACACTGGATGTCGCCCGCGGCGACCTCCCACTTGTCCTCCTGACATAGGCCATCTGCAAGTCGTTGCATCAAGCAAAGGAACCCTGGCCTGGACAATGTAGGCGCGTCCGTGCTCAACGCCTCCACCCCAAGATCAGGGTCTCGGTGTCCTCCGATAACAAGCCGACTCTTGCATCTCCACTTTGGCTCATCTGTGTCTGGTGTTTCCCCGGCGGCATGCGATTTTCTGGCGGCCCAGTTTTTATCGCGATATGCCCACCGGCATGGTAGGATTCGAGCAGGATCGACGGTTTGCCTTATCTGCTCCGAGGTTTCCTCGTCCAGCGGTTCTAGCGCGTCATACGACAGGTGCTCTTGCCATTGGACGCGCTCTGCGTCTTTGAAGAGTTCACGGGCTTCGGGTGGTATCTCGGACCACTTCAATTCTTTCTCCTGTCGTTTGGCCTGCCCTCTCTGAGTGAGTGCTCTTTTCAATAGCATCACCTCGTCGGCCTGCGCGTCGACGTTGTCGGGACGAGTCTTGCGCTTCAGTCTCCGGCTCGGAACCCCTGCCGGTAGTAATGCTTCCTCTTCCTGTGGCATCTCTGTGTCACCCTCTTCGTCGATGTCGAGCTGGATGTTGCCGTGGGGGTCGAGGTCGTCGATCTCGCTCGGGGAGTACTGGGCGTCGTCCTCGTCCTTGCCTTCGGATTGCTCCCATGTATCCGGATCGTCCGGGTCCATCGACAGGAGCTTGTTGACCTCCTCCTTGACGCCCTTCATGGTGAGGTACTCGCCAATCTCCTCAGGTCCGGTGCTCCGGAGGTGTTCCGGTGCAGTGAGCCTGCACCTGCCGTTTCTCGAGATCCAGTAACTGGACCCTTGTTTTCCCACCACCACTGCTGGCCCTGTCCAGTGGGCCCTTCTTCTGTCTTTTGGCTGATTCCAAAAATGCACTGGGTCCCCGACCTCGAAGTCCTTCTTCGCCGTTCGGGCCCTCTGCATCAGAGCTCGTCGCAGCCTCTCATCCCCTTGGGTCTTATGAAAGGCCATGCGCGCACTTGCCCGGATAGCTGCCAAACGCTGGAACTTTGAATCCCGGGTGAGGTCCCAAGTCACCTGCTCGCCATTGTCCGGATCACACAGTTCTTCTGGAACTCGGGGTGATCTTCCGAATACCCACTGGGTTGGTGAGTGTCCGCAGCGTCGCCGGAGGTCGTTTTTAGCGGCACAGACCATTGTTGCCGCGATCTCGGCCTCGTCCTTGTCGACACTCAGCTCGTGGATGACTCTATCCCAAATCCCCTTGAACCACTTAATGTGTCTCTCGGTGATGCCGCCCTGCCACTTGCCTTGGGCCGCCACGTTCTTGACCCCGATGTTGTGCCAATCAAATAGCCTTGCTAGTCCTGCCTGCACTTTCCCGTCCAAGTCGATTGAAACTGACGTGGGCGGGCCGAATGGGGACAACCAGTGCATGTTGAACGCCCTCTCGACGTCCGGGCCAGTCTCTTTCTCGAGCTTGGCAACCACGTGGTAGGATGTCGCCCAATCGGTCATGGTGAGGAAGGCGTGCCTGGCATCCTGGATGTCGTGGCAGTACATGATGTCGACCCCAACGCAAGAGTTGAAGTCGAGCAATCTCGGCAGCGTGCTCGGCCTTGCAATGCCGGGCCCTTTTGTAGCTTCACATGTGGCACACTTCATTCCTTTAACCGCCTTGATGATGTTGGGCTCGCATCCTGCTAGCCTCAGGTGTCGACATAGGTCTTCTCCTCGTGGATGTCCCAAGTTCTGGTGCAGGCGACGTAGAGATGCCTGCACGTAGCCGGGGACGTCGCTTCCAAAAGTGATGCCGCTGCCGTCGTACTTGATCTTTTCGCCTTGGGTTCCCTCGTCGACTTCGACGGCGCATACATCATGAGGGCGTTGTCCTGCAAAAGTAGGTTTCGCTCCATCCCTTTGTTTTCCAAGGACAACCCATGCATCGTCGTCGTCGAGGAACTTATACTTCACATACTCGGCGTAGGTCTCCAGGAAGGGGCTTGGATCTCCTTTACGCAGTACGACTTCGCCGCCAGCCTCAATCTGTTCGCGAATTAGCTCACTCACGGGCTCCTTCGCTCGGTCGGGCGTTCCATCAAGGTGGATTCTCAGCTCTTTCGGTGAGGCTCCGACGACAAAGTGGTGCGCGTTGACCTGGGCTTCGGGGTCGACGTAGTCTTCCCACGTGAACGGTTCGATTACCGCCTTGTCGAGGTCTGTCGCCTCGATCGTTCCTTCTTGTCCTCCTATCTCCATCATGACGATCGGATCGTTGAGGGCTGGTTGTCCATGGACGTCGATAAGGTAGGAGCTGGCCGCCGTCATCAAAGTGCACATCAGCACTCCGAGCTTCCCGGCGGCGTTCATGATCGTCTTCTTGGTGGACCTTGTTGCCTTTGGCTTAACAACAGCCTCCCCGGTCCTGGTTCTCCCAAGGAGAGGGAGCCTGAATCCGCAGCCTCTGAGGTACTTCTTGATCTCCGGTCCACACTGCGGCAGTCCTCGGGCGGTGTGATATGTCAGGCACCACCTGTCTCCGCTCCAATCACAGGAGTCGTGTCTTAGGAAGGGGTTGAACTCAACGAAGGTGCCGGCGGTGTTGTGGGTCTTTCCTGGCACCCACACTCCGTTCCTGTCTCGCCGCCAAAGAAACTTTTCCCCATTGGCCTTCTTCTCGTCGATGTCGCTCTCCTCAAGCCATAGCTGTCCACCACTCTTTTGTCCTGTTGACGCAGAGTAGTTGTGGGTCCCCTTGAGGTTGTTGCTGTCACGGTGGACGGTCGTAGCGATGTTCTTGGTAACAGAAATAGAACTCCACGTCGCATTGGCGGGCAGGTGGGCTTTGCCAAAGTTGTTCAGGTAGCGGACGAGGGCCTCGGTGTCCTTGGTAGAACGCGTCACTCCAATGACGCCCCCATGGGTGAACATCCCGTAGGTGGAGTAGGCCTTGTTCTCGGTGAAGTCGTTGCCGCCATCGTGGATCTTCCGGAGGTTGAGCTTCTCCGGGAAGTAGTGGGTGGCCTCGAGGATCTTCTCACAGTTCTCGAAGCTGTAGTCGCCCCAATCAAAATCGCCTTCGCCAAACTTCTTGTAAAGGTTTGCTCCAGCATAGTGCATGCTCTCTTCGCTCTCGGGTGCGTGGTACTCGTTGTGCGCGTCATGAGTGGCGTAGTTTGTAGCGCGACCATGATAGCCGCGGACGTAGTCCTCCTCAGTGATGATGTTCTCAATCCTTTCATAGCCACAACAGTTAACACCAAAGAACTTTTCCCCTTCATCATCACCAGGAGCCCCGCCATCGAATTTCACTGCTCGCTGCTGCGGGCCTTGTCCTTGAGGATCGCGAGCTTTGTCTCCAGGGCCTTGATCTCCTCCAGCACCGCTGGGTCCGGTTGCGACTCCATCGCTTTGCTCTTGTCCTTCATCTCGGCGTTGCCGCGCTTCGGCGTGGTCTTGGTGTAGCCCTTGCCGGTCCTGATGCTCGTGGGAGTCAGCACGGGCACGGCGTCCCATGAGCTGTTTGAGCTGGCCTTGCTGCGGTTGGTCTCGGGCACGTAGCTCGCATCCACCGTATCGTCGTTGATGAGGGTCTTCACCGCCTTCCGGTCCATCTCGTTCTTGAACCACTTCGCGTAGCGGACAAGATCCGGATGGGAGTTCTCCGACCTCGTAGTCTCGGCCAGGGCCCAACGACCATAGTCCTCTGGAATCTCCCGGTACTCGCATCCGCGCCACCGGCCGATCGTCATCAAGGTGTTGGCCGGGGTGCTCAGGCTGTCCCGAATGAGCTTCAGGATCAACCCTTTGCTCGCCTTCGCCGGGAGTGGCACCTCGAGCTCCGCCGCCTTGGCCCGAAGCTCTGGGAGGTTGAGGGAGTTGATCTTCTTCATGCGGGTAGTGAGGTCCTCCTCGCCGTTCGCCTCCAAGTGCTCGCGGATGACCGCTCGAAGTTCCGGCACCGTCCAACTCGGGTGCACGGTCATTCCCAGTCTCATTGCCTCCTCCAGAAGCTGAGACTTGCGCATTTGACTGAGTGGCACAGTCTTGGTAGAGTCGTTCTCGCATGCTGCCCGGCTGCTCATTACCTCGAAGAGGAATTGCAGAGGTTGGGATTGGGGGCTGCTGCTTGAACAAGACTGTGCGGCCAATCCACAACAAAGTGAAGGCAGGCTCACTGGTGCATTGATCCTCCCAATGATCTACTGTTTGCTCAAGCCATCTTCCAGAACTACAGCAAATGCCTTCTGTGATTCGTGTGTGGCCGAGGGTTCCGGTAAGCATGTCTCTGAGGATTGTTCTGCTTGTTCTCCAGGTTGAGGGATTAAACATAGCACGGCGAGGTACAACATGTATTCGCATCCATGAGGAGGGGGTCTCTACCCAAAAGTCACGATCAATCTCGGTATTCTCCCACCACGTACGAAAGGTATCAAGAGATAGTTGATCTTGACTGAGCATATCCTTGACACTGGGGTCCAACTTCTTCTCATAAAAGATTCCAGTGTACTGAGGAGCACGGGGGTTATGACAGGCTACTGCAAACACGGTCATGTATTCCGCCTTGGGCTGCAGTCGAACGTCCTCGATCTCAAGCACTGGAACACTGCTAAGGTCGGCCTTTGCCGGGATAATTGGTATCGCAGGATGGCCTGAGGGTGTGGCGAGCAAACTGTATGACTGGAGCCCGACCCTGGTGAAGTCAGCTCTGCCCCCCTCGATGTCGTACACCATTCCGAGCTTGCCGAGAACCGTACGAGACAATAGAAGGGGTATGTCTCCAGGAATTATCGACGTCCTCAGTTGGACGACCGAGTTCCCAAGCTCGAAGTTGACGATCACGTAGAACGAGCTGTAGTGGATCTTCCCCGTGCCGAAGCGGTATGCCTCGCACTCTTTCTTCAGGACGGGGCGCTGGCCGTGGTCCTGGAGCAAGTCTGTATAGGCCTGCAACCACTGGCTGCCGGCGACGGTCCTCGCGCAGGCAGTGTCAGTCACCCCTAGGAGTGAAGCATCTCCGACGTGTCTGCAGGCATACACGTCGGCCGGCATCACGGTCATCATAGCCACCTCCTTGGGAGCCGAAGTTCCTTTTGCTCCACCCGGCTCTCCTTTGTTCAGGGGGCACGTGGAATCAAGGTGCCAATGGCCACGTCTTCCGCATCCACTGCAGAAACTCTTTGCCTTCATGGCCTTCAGCCGAGCTTCACGTCCTTGGTCACGATCGCGGTCTTCAGCTCGGTCTCGGGCTCCATCTCCAGGGGGAGGTCGAGACGGTCGTTCATGATCTCCATTGTAACCGCGGCTTTGCTTCTGGTTCTTGTACTTCTCCTTTGCCGACTGGTAGGTGACCCATGCCTCTGCTACCTCCTCCGGTATTCCTTCCTCTCCAACATCATCTGAGCCACCTTCGGAGCCGTCTCCATCGTCGTAGTCCGTGACGTGCGCGTAGTGCGGCTTCTTGTTGCCACGGCTGCCTGCTCCTTCCCAGGGCTTCCGCTGACCGCGGTCATGAAGCACAGCTGCTTGCTGGAGCCGTAGGAGATCATAACGATTTCCTACGGACGCAAGAATGTTGAGTTCTTGCGCTTCATCGAGCTGCAGGCGGTCTAGATAGACCCAGGCCGCAGCCTCTTGCGGCAGGTTACACCCCACTTCTCTCAAGCGGCCGAAGAGTCGATCATATTCAGCGTTATAGTCACGAATCGTTTGTCCAGGACGACGTCTCATTTTCCTGAAATAGTCGCTGAATGCTCTCCCGATTCGTGCTACTTCGAGGTCGAGGAAGCGGGCTCGGATCCATGAGATCAGGTACTCGATGCCGTTCTCCTCGCCCAACCTGCTGACTGATAATTCTTCAGCTGCTATCCAAGCTTTGCCGCCCAAAGACTGGTATAAAACCAGTCCTTGCTGCGATCGCGGCAACAGGGTCATCTGCCGCCATGCCGCCACCTGTCGCAAATACGACCTGGTGCTTCCTCCAAGGTCCTCCGTCTCCTCCGCGGTGAAGACAGGCACTGAAAGCTTCTCTGAGGCACGGCCGTAAGAGCGGCCTCTGCCCTCGCCGTAGTACCCGTCAGAGCTTTTCCACCATGAAGAGCTGTCCTCTTCCCAGATGCGGCCGAGGCGTCCATCCGCGCCTCTTCCTTCGTCCCAGGCTCCGCGTTGGTCTCCTTGATCAGGTTGCCAGTGGGGAGGATCTCGACCATCCGCCCAGGGAGCTCCGCGTGGGTCTCCTAATTCGCGTACTGGAAGTAGTCCCGGTCCTCGTCGTTGCCACTCCTCGCCTGGCACTGCTCGAAGGTTTCCGGGTCCGGGCTGCCAACGGTGAAGATCTCCGTCGTCCGCCCAGGTGCTGTCCCATCGGCCTCCTTGGTCGTGGCGGTCTCCTCGATTTCCTCTCCATCCGTCTCCATGCCATTCACAGTCGCGGTCCCAGGCTGGGGCCCTTCTGTCTCCGTGGTCGCCTTGGCGACCCCAGTCGCTTCGGCTGCCACTTTCGGCATCTTCTCTATTGTCTCGTTGCTCTCGCCAAGGACCTTCCCGGCGCCGGTCTTGTTGCCAAGGATCGGACTCCCCGTGGCTCCACGGGTCCGTTGTTGAAGCACTCCACGATGTCCTATGGCTGCCAGGATTCGGTCCTCTTGGCTCCCAAACATTGCTGCGCTCGCTCCGCCCAGGCTCGTCGGCAGAAGCAGCGCCGCTTCCCCCACCCCACTCATGTTGAGTGGCGTTCTCATCACGATGCATTTCCCCAGCATCGACTGCGAAGTTAGCACGACGGCCGTGCGACCCGCTGTCCGAGTCGGAAGCTTGACGATCATCCACAGGTTTGTGACTCTCACGCCGACCAAGAGAAGGGGTCGGTAACACTTCTGGTGGCTCCGCAAAGCCTTCTTCTGCGACGTTCTCAAACCCAGGGGGCGGCTCCGATGCACCCGCTGCCATGACAGACTGGATCTACAGCTACTGAGCACACAGGCTCCGCTACCAATCTAAGACGCTAAGGAAACTAGTGCACGCGCGCGGTCCGGCCTCGTACAAGCAAGCCTTTTCCGCAACTCGAACCATGATGCCTTCGGACACATCCGCCTGTCAGAGCTGTGCTGGGAGAGATACGAACTCTAGTGTGAAGCCTTCCGATTGCAAGCAACAGCAGATAAGACATCTCGGAGAATACCGACTTTGTGCTTCACACT